CTTCAGTTTCACTCCGTCTTCACTTACATCGAGGAGCCTAACAACCAGACTCTGTAAAAGCTCAATGTCATGATCATACCGCACCCGAGGACTTTGATCGTGGGACTCAGGCGCGTGGAAACCACCAGGTTTCATCACCTTTTATTCGGCAAAGCAGTTCATGCGGTAGAAAGGTAGCCTCGAGGATAACTTGACATGTCGGTAATTAGCAGGGCGAAGCTTCTCTTCGTTTCGTGGCTTCTGTCATTATTTTTACTACGGCTCCGCAACCACTGGACATTCATCTAGGTCTTTAAAGCTAGCGAATCACAAACTCATTGGATCAACAGCCTCAGTTGGTGTTGTGCTTCTGGAAATATAAGGATGGCGAGGAAATGAGTTGTCAGCGGAAGAAGAATGGGAGAAGGGTTGGGCTGAGTTTTGGATGGAAGCTGGGTCAGTTTTCGTGGCAATATGTCTGGAACTGCTCACGGTGAAACAATTTTGGCCGCGATCTGCATCGGTAGACATTGTACCTTCCTCTGGCTGCCTTAGACTGCGACAATCGTTGAACAAAAATTAGATGAAATCATGTTAAATAGAACGTAAGAGACGATAAGAACCGACAGGTAATTCAAAACACGAAATATGAAATCTAGCACAGCAATCAAAGCACGTAAGGGTGTTTGCCATGTGTCCGGCATTTTGAAAAACGGCGTAAAAGTGACGTAAAATGGTAGGACAGGAGTTGCAAGACAGAACTTCATAATCTGCGAAAAGATACCCCATAAAATATGATCCGAAAATTGCAGAACCAGAGATAAAACCGAGTGATACCAAAATTTCCCTGAAATAATTCTAATGTATCGATAAATCCACAAGTATCCTGATAATGCAGCCACGGAATAAGCAACCAGACGTCGATATTTCTGGACGGATAGTACGTATTGGATCCGTACGAGTAGCTTAGTAACTGCCGATCTAGTTAAGCGTCCCCACTCCGTGACGAATGTTTGCAGATGCAGTCAGGTGCGAATTCGACTTGAAGCCAACTATGTATTAAAAGACAACACCTTAATATGGACGTTCCGTTTGGAACGAATTCACCTCAAGTAGATACTAATGTACAGCTGTCAAAAGGTCAGGAAAAGGCCGGGTTCTTTTTGTTCTCTCCGAGCTCGTTGCGGTGTGCATCAACTTGGCGAGAGGGGGCTTAAAACCGTTATCCTATTTTCGCATAGCTCCAAGTCAATAGTTACCGCAGATATTTGGATTAGATGTGCTTACATTGCAAGTGTGATGTAGCTAGGTCTAATGTCCACTATCCTGCACGTTACTTCAGCGAGGGAACTAGAACTGTCTCCAAACGACCTTGTTCATCGCTAAATTGCCAATCGGATCCTTTCATTGTAGGCTAGTGTGGGATAATGCTGCCCAACATAGAGCATTCGGGTACCCAACTGGATTCAGTGCAATTCATAACAGTTGGGTCGACTAGGCCTGTACAGTATACATTACTGGTTTGTCCAACATAACGAAGTCTAGGTGCGATGAATTTCGGTTGCACAACTGATACCTACTATTCCGTTGTAGTCAGCACAAATGCCGGTCAAACTCACGTTATCACCCCTGATCTTCGCCGAGGCGCATTCAACAGTCACGGCTGGGTGGCAGCGATGCAGTACAGTACTTGTACAGCGATTGAATGGGGTATTTTGAAACACGCGCTGTGTGAATGGATTGCGACATCCAATCATGACCGTGACTCATGTTGGACTTGGGTCAGAGGAGGTCCTATTGGCCGAATTGATCCAAATTCAAGAACAAAAGACCGAAGGTAAACAATTGGTTTCGATGATTCACCCTCATACCCCTCAACTACACCTTTGTCTTAGTTTGCCGTCTGTTGCTGGTTAATGCCCTTGGACGGCACGTAATCAAACTTCATTTGAATTGATCGAATCTACTATTAGATGCATTGCTATTTCACCTATATGATTGTATGGGTCTGAGGATGAATCATCGAAAACACTTCAAAGTTGAATTTAGGGAACACGCTGTGTGGTTGGGTTGCGACTCGCAACCCCTATTGAGACCTCTGTCCACTTGAGGTAAACGTCGGTCATTCCGATTGCGAGGATCGTATTCGGAATGGAAATATTTGGGTGTTGCCAGTGTGCCAGTGTTAGGAGGAGCAATACCCAAATATTTCCAATCGAAAACAATTGTTTACCTTCGGTCTTTTGTCCTTGATAACTAAATGGAAAATTTCCAGTTACTGAGATCCAAATTCACTTTAACAGGAGTTATAGTCCAGATTGAGTTTGTCTGTCGCAACACGTGCTTCAAAATGAGTCTGCCAATCACCTGTGACAAGCGTTGCCAGTCGTGACCTGGTGGCTTAATGGTAAAGATTCGAGTCGCAGTCGTGCAATCTCCGCCTGGTGAGTGCGAACGTTTACCAAACCGATCGGGAGTGAAGTGTCGTCGGGTGGGTGATATTCAATAGTGGCAAAAAAGCTCCAGGATGATGCAACGTCTTATTTCTCCGGCAGAATATTTGGTCATGGTCCAGGAAACAACTGGTATCAGAAAGCTTCGGTGATAAAATGTAGCCAATAATTCTCGAGAACAGTGAGGATCAATATTCCCGCCTGATTCCGGGAGCTGCCGATAAGAAGTAGTGGCCCAACGTCATGACACATCCAGAACAAACCAAAGGTGTTCCTAAATGGTGTACCAAAAAACGTTGACCTGATGCTATACTTGGGCTGGAAAATAGCGAAAGTTGCATTTGTGCAATTCGCCCTACAGCAACAATGATCAGATATGGGAACCCCCAGTCACTCTTCTTCGGCATAGGCAACCGCGTAGTATATCGCTTATTGACAAAGCATGGAAACGCGCTTTCGCTCTCACGATGGTTTACTCTGTTGTTACCAGGTCAATTTTACACACACAACATCTACTGATCTACCTTCCTCTTATATCTGTGCCCTCTATATCATATAGATTTTTTAAGGCAAAAAACCCTGCACCACCGGATGAATTTGTCCCCTTAAGAGCTACCAATTCAACCATATAGTTCTTCGCAGGTAATCACCAGCCGGTGTCTCCCACCGTCGCTTCTGTAGCTTAGAACTCGGTTCGAGTTAGCAACGTTAATGTACACGTATTAAAGATGGGACCACACGTTGGATTTGCACGCAACTTAAGGACTCTTGTAATTGATATCTGCTGCCTACTGGGACACGACATCAGGATTCCAAAACAGTCAACCAAGTGCCGCCACCTATCCACCCACACAGCCGTTTTCATCTTCTGTCGGGTCTGGGAATGCTGGCGTTGGGACTGTCCTTGATTGTATTCCAGTCAACAGTCGCCCTCGTGTCACGCGGCTCCGTGGCTCTTGCACAGTTAACGGACGTTGAGCTGACAAACGTGACTGCAGCTCGGACAATTTAAACTAAAATCTCTATGATCCGCGCCTAAGGGCCCATAAAACGGACAGCACCATTACACCAGGAGACTTCAACACACCTGTCGGTCAATTGCTGCCGCATGAACACATCGTTGGACAGCAAGGATATGATGATGTTCGTTCTGACAACGGAGAAAGATTAATCGGTTTATACCGACCACTAGCTTTTTCTCTACAGCACGAGCTTGCGTCACTCTGGATGTCACTATGCTACCTAGCGTCCATTTTTCCTCCATCGTTGGCCTAAAATTGACCACATAGCATAAGTCGCAGGCGGTGCGACAGCGTACGCGACTACTGATCATTTTGGTCAACTTGTGCACAAAACGATCATATACTAGTTTGTGCTACGGTGCGCACGCGTTTCGGTGGTTCACCTAAGGTCAAACAAATCCAGCTGAACATTTGCAAATCGGAAGACCTAACAGAGTAAGTGGAGTATCAACAGAGGCATCGAAAAAACTTCGTTCTCTCCTACCCTTTGGATGTTGGCAGAATTTCCTTTTCATTAGCTGCCACCACCGGCATACGTCAAGGTTGCCGTAAATCACCATTTTTCTTCAATCTGGCCATTGAAGATATCCAACAATCAGTAAGTGTACAGAACTACGGCATTAAGCTTTTTCCTGCGGATAGAGTCGTGGACCTGGATTACACCGATGATATCACTGCTGCGGGACGATGCATAAGCAATTCATAACACTGGACTGCTTGAAGCCAGCAGAAGGTAAAACAGTACTTCATAATTGGCAAGCGCCTGTACCCGCGCTCACCATTACTAGTGACATTCTGGAACAAGTCGATCAATTCACTCTACCAGGGAGTTCCATCACAGCCAAGGGGCTGTGCTGGAGGATGCCTTACAACGGGTCGCAAATACCCGCTGGCTTTCACCAAAGAGATATACCTATGTCATCGTCGCGATATCAATCTCAAAATCACAGGCAGAGTATACAATGCCTCCATCCGTATGGTTCTGTTGTCCAGCAGTGAGACCTGGACTTTTCGTGTGGACGACATAAAACTTGTCAATTTTTGACAACCGTTGTCTGTGAAGGATTGCTTTTGTACTGTGGCAACATCACGTAAGGAACATAGAAGTCTGAAACCGAGTATTTAGAATGAACAACCCTTGTCTCCAAAACATTCTTCTCCGACACCGTATACGTGGGGGGTTTGATCACGTATTGAGGATGACTATCGCCTTCTAAGAAAAGCGTTATTTGCGCTCCCCGGAAGCGATTAGAAGTACCGTAGTGAACAACCAATGACATGGAAAAGGAGCATAAAGAAGACAACCTCAAGCTTAACATCAGTCGGACTGGTCCTCTTTCAAGGTTGGGTACCACGCGAAACGGACTCACAGTGGTTGAAAACATTGGATGTTAAGGCCCGCAACAGACAGCAGTGGCGCCGATGCCGTTCTATCCCATGGTCGAACATAAAATGTAGGTGGAATCCGCTCGCATTTGGGAAAGAATCACTCAGCTGATCAACGTGAGCTGTAGACAAATACTGGGATCCAAAGAGAAAATCTTACTCGACTATATTCCCCCTCAGTATTCTCCCGGATGATGACGATATCTACATTGTCATGGCGAGTCTTGATTCCGGGAAAGTTGTGACATCGTTGGACAAAGGCATACAGGTTGAGCTGAGTACGAAGTGCCAAATTTCGTGAGGATTGTCCTGCGGAAGTGAGGGAATCAAATACCGAAAGAGACATTAATGATGGCCTAATTACAAAGAAATTAGTAAGACGTAAGCTGCAGTAGATTGTGTTAAGATTTTGTGTTGCAAAATGCCCGGCACACCACTTTGTGGCTACACATTGTTGTGCCTTTAAAATATATCTGCAGCGCAACGATATTTCGTGGTGGCGCCTCGTTGGCATGCAAGCGCAAATGGTTGTATGTGGCAAATATACTATAAGAGCGCATAAACCTAATCAGGAGCAAGAAATTGAACTCGAGGCAAGAGGTAATAAGCTGGATGCCGTGCCATTAATCGACAAAGCCCTGCTGTATCTCAATGTGTCTCAAGAGTAGTTCTGATAAATCAGGCACATAAATAGGCGTGATTCTCGGTTTAACTCCGATACAAAAGACGCGAGTAGAAGACGGAAGGCGATTGTCAATAAGCGTCCACAGACCGCTGCTTTTATAGTCGCTAACATCCGGCCAGCTAGAAGTCTACGTTTCCCTAGAAGCGCTCTATACTTGATGGAGTATACCGTTAACTGGTTTTCGACTGACGTCTGAATACTTATAGTATATACTCCCTACACAGGGGATCCGTGGTGTAGTGGTAAAGACGACTGATTTATAACGGCTGCGTCCCGAATTTTAGTCTCCGATCCTGCAAGAGTTGGGCCCACTCCAGTATTCGAGCCCGCGTACAACCGATTGTGCTAGTGCGGAAGCGAAACATCAACACGTAGTAATGGCGTAGTGCTAATAGCACCTTTCGATTTTGCTACACAAATAGACACGGCAGTAATGTTAGGTACAGCTGGAGGCCATGATAGTGGATAACAACACGTCTACCACAGTAAGGCTTGAGACAGCAGCCTAGTCGTACTGACCAATGCGTCAACAACTAAATTGGAATAATAACAGCTCAAACGCCAACAGCACGAAGGGCGGTCAAAAACTAGACAAGTGAAAACTGATCCTGTTCACGGAAAGATATGAGGAAAAAGGGGAACATCAAAGACCACATACCCGGTTCCGTGGCGAAATTTCCTTTGATACCGATGCCATTCCGCTTCATAGCCAATAGTGCATCACGAAACGTGATATCGTCACTGTTATGATTTACAGGTATCTCTTCGAAATCTACTGGGGCTCCGAGAACATGATACACTTCCTTTACGTATTCCATAAGCTCCGGACCAACCCCATCCCCAGTCAGCATAGCGACTGTGTGGCGACCGCCGTAACAGGCCTTCGGTAGGTCATTGTGGAAGCCGACACTCAAGAAGTGTTTTGATGCGGCAGGAGCATCTATGTTAGCGTCTGTTATGACGCTCGTCGAACCAAAACTACGTTGGAGGCAACAACCCAAAAATCGTAAGCGCGACTAGATGGAAGTATAAATGCAGATATTTAACAAGGCACGTGAGCAATAGAACAGAGTAAACAAGTGACAATAATCATGAAAGATAAACTGGACATGTATGAACACCTATTCGGAAGACGTCATGTGTATTTCAACAGAGATCGACATTCTGATGATGCAGTGCGGTTGCTGTGAAAGCAAACGCGGGAGGCCGGATTCCATGTCATAGAGACACAGAGTAAACTTCGCAATGCGAGTAGCCCACAACGGTTCGCAAGCGAAGATAACCCCCACACAACAGTGAACACAGCTTTCTCTAGCGGAAAATGCAATGCGTGTGTCAAGAGAGGCAAACACGTCAGTGTGTATGACGCACAAGGCAGAAAAACAAGTGTTAGACCATAGACAGAAAATGCTGCACATCAAAGGGTCGTAAGTCCAAGTACACTGCAATGAAAAAAGCACGACCATTAAAAAACCTTATTTCCTCTCTCGAACAAAACCGCCTTCTCGGGATGCGCAGCCAGAGAGTACATCTGCCCATGCGACCACATCGACAATACTCTATGCACCCCTTAATTTTCCTTGTCCTCTCAACTATCTTCTTCCCCGTCTATTGAGCAAAAGTTTGACGCCGCCATCGATAATCGTAACTTGTCCGGCAAATCACGAGTATCATTTCACATTGGTTCGCTTAGCGTCCGCAAGCAGCAGGCAGAACTGACTCTCACTTTTCACTCTCTTGGTATTGATGTGTGCTGTGTCTCCGAAACACACATACAGAATAACAGCTTATTGACAAATCTTCTGAATCTGACAACAATGACTACACTCTTCGTGTCTCTGGTGACAGCCAGTCAGTGACACAAGGTATTAACGGTGTTTGTATTGCCCTCACCAAACATGCTGAAGCCAGTTTGTTCGACTGAATACCGGTGAACAGCTGCATTAGTGCGGTTCGACTTCGAAACTCTGTTGGGGTTAATAAGCACCATAGGAAGATAACATGCCCTTTCATCGCCTCTGTGTATGCTTCTACTGACTGCAGTTCGGAGGGTACCGAAGGTGATTTCTATTACCATCTTTCATCTCTTATCCGCATAGCGAAGCATTCTGACCTCTTGATTGTTGCTGGTGATTTGAATACCCAAGTGGGTAGTGCTTCAGATGCTGAACAACACCTAGGAGGACACTTCGAAGTCGATGCACGCCGAACAGACAAGAGTGCTCGATTCCTGCAACTGTGCGCCAACCACCATCTTTATATTAGCAGCACTGCTTTCCAGTACAAACGTTCACACCGCGTCACCTGGAGCCCACCGAATTCCTCGTTGACCTGGACCCGAATCGACCATATTGCCATCAGCTACGAATTGTGCGAATCAGTCCAAGTCTGTCGGTCAATTTGGAGCACGTGCCTGGATTCCGATCATGCTCTAATGCGCGCGCCTGACACTCACTCCGCCAGCTTCAAAAAGGCGCCTAACCCCTAAATCTCTTGTAACGGACTTACAGTCTGAAGCTCAACAATATCATGACGAACTGGCCCATCAATTGTCAATGACGTATGAGGTTGGTGAGTCGGATGCTGACTGGGATCGTTTCAAATGTACCATGAAGAATGCCTTTGACGCTTGCTGTGCACCCGACTTGAGACGGTGTAAATGTGAATGGATCTCTGAAGCATCGATCAAGTTGATCGAAGCGCGTAAACGGGTTACGATGAGCACTTGAGTTTCAGCGTATCCGTAACTCCCTGAAACGACGTCTGACAAGGAGTCTTCAGATTGACCGGGAACGTTGGTGGATTGCGTAGGCCCGTGAGATGGAGACAGCCAGAGCTATTGGAAACAGCCGAGTTCTATATCCCAGCTCATCCGAAACACGGGACGAGAAAGCCATCATTTCGCGAGACAATAGCTGATAGAGATACACTGTTGATCCATTCTCAGCGTCGTCGATTAGCCCGTTGGACGGAACATTTTGAGGAGCAGGTTACCTGGCCTGCTGCAAGATTGCTGCCTGTCGATTCACCCGAACCGACATGGGAAGTTGATGTCACACCTCACACTTTTTAAGAGATTCGACATGAGCTCGCAGTATTAAAACGAAGTAAGGCTCCTGGACCCGACGATCTTCCTCCATCTTTGCTGAAAGTTAGTGGTGACTTTATGTTGACTGGACTTCTTTCCCTTTGTAACAAGATCTGGGACCTGAAGAAATGCCTTCAGACTGGTGACTATCAACTGTCGTGCACATTTTCAAGAACGGTCAGCGTACTTTGTGCGAAAATCATCGAGGCATTAGTTTCATTCCATTGCCTCGAAACTTTTCACGGGTATCATTCTTCGACGACTTACTGGTTCCTATGAGGACGGAATCACTGAAAGCCAGGCTGGCATCCGCCCTGTTCGCGGTTGCATCGAACACATATCTACTCTTCGCTATGTTTTAGAGCAGACGCACATACAGACGACCGACTATGGTAGATTCCTTGACGTGAAAACCGCCTTCGACTCTGTTGAGCGTGCTAGCATTTGGCACTACCTATCCACCAAGAACGTGCCAGCTAAATTGCTTTCCATTCTGAAATCCATCTACCGTTATTCCCGCTGATGCGGCAACCACTGGTCAAGCTGGAGGGGGCATTGTTCCCAGCTCCAATGCCGAGTCATCGCTGATTGGTTGAACTTGCGGGAGTAGCCGTTCATGTGGAGTCCATTTGACGACATCAACTAGGGTTGATACACGAAGTAGCACCATACGCTGTTTCCTTCTGGTTTCCGCTTATCCCTTATTGATTGCAACTGATGCTGCGAAGGACGCTTACTATCACGAACTGAAAATGCTGCTACGCAGTGTTACCAGTTTTCATACCATAGTGGTTCCAAAGAATATGAATACACAAGTAGGACGAGGTACAGCAGCAATGGGACAACTAAACTGCTCTCGAAAGTGCTCCGCCCAACGAGCCATACGACGCTGCCTATTGTGAATCAGTGCACCTGGGCTTTCTCTGATGGTTCAATTGACGCCTGGTTTCCTGCGGTTGGTGTTGCGGATCAGCTGAAAGAGCTCGCGGTAATTGCCTAGTGCTCGTGCTTCCTCCATCTCTTGAGCCCGACTGGTCCACCAGGCTTCCTTGTCAACAAGTTGGCTCCAGATTTAGTTTGCGTCTACTAATCCGTCTGGTAACATTGTGCTCAGACCTAACCGGGACTTTTCTTCTGGATTCCGACAGCTTCACCGACCTCTCGGATATCCAGTAACTAGTGCGGTGACGACTGAGAGTGCCGCAAGCAGATGCTCCTGCATGTTACACGGCGGCCGAGATCCCATTCCATTGAGGCTCGGTGTCATTAGTACAAGAGAGCGAAAGTTCCTTACGCAGTTCGTCCTGATAGGCTTACCTGGCCGATGGCTGAGACAATTTATCAGTTGCCAATCGGAGGAGACGCTTGATGCGCCTACTTGGAGAAACAACAGCGCAGTAAGGCATGATCAGAGTCGACGTAGGTATTCCAGTACGAGCTACAATCCAGGATGGAAACACTCCACCTGTAACTTATGGCAATGTGGTCAATTTGGGTCCATCGCTGGCCAGCTACAGGAGGACACCAAGTGGCACTTCGGCGCCCAATGTGTCTAAAAGCAGTGCTACTAAGAAACAACTGGTACTCCGTACACATTTGCAACAGACGCTCGCCGTTGTCAGTCCGTCCGCAGTTAAGCCCATAATTACTGCCTAGCTGAGCTTCTGAAAAGCTCAAACACCATACTTGCGCGTTCATATCCCCTACAAGTTTTATGATATCTGAACTATTGCATTGCGTAGTATGGCGTTCAGTGCTTGTTAGAATATGTCCTTGGCAGCATTTGAACTGCAGTCGGTGGGATCATAAGCGGAAATCATAAACAAACAGTGTCTTGTACTACTTCATGAATAAACCTTATCTGATATCGTCAAACGGGCTGCACGCAAACGGCTGTTCACCGGAATCCAACCAGCCAACCATGGATCGGCCTTGGAGCTTAGAATGATACCTACACCAGCTTGACCAGTGAGTGCTGTATCGGCGTCTCCGTATGCATGTAACCAATAAGGAGAGGATAAGCCGGGAGCAGTTAATTCAACAACCCCAATAGGGTCATTGATCCTTGTTTCAGACACACAACACACATCCATACGCAGTGTGTCCAAGGTGCGTGCGAGTGTATCCTATTGACCTAGTTGTCTTAGAGTGCGAACGTTGAACGCCGCCATGGAAACGGGACAGCGTGGCCTTGTAAGGGACTGTTGCCGATAGGCGTTCGATGGATGCTGTGGTAAGGTGGCTGCAGATAGTCCTACTCCAGTGGCACTTCGGTTGCTGTCAATTAAGCTGGGCATTATAGAAGGATGGTTAGTAATGGGGGTCGGGATGGGAGTAAGAGAAGCAGGTGGGAAAGAAAGGAGGCGCCAGCAGTAGCACGTTTTCGCTTATCCTCCCTGCTCTATGCAGCGGATAAGGCGACCTTTGATATTCTGCGCGACGGCCGATGCAGGACGAAGTTTATGTTTGAAGAAAAAGTTGTAGTTGTATGTGGGTTGAGATACTGCCAGGGCGCCCAGACATAGAAATGAGCATGATTAGGGTCCTAAACCAAAACCTTTGGCTCCAAAAGCCTGTTCGCAAGACAGCGGGGAGGTGACAACGATGCAGTTTTACAGAAATGGACACCATCTGAACTTCCAAACTCAATCTGGAATACCAGGAGACTGAATCTGTCTGACCTCTCACCATCTCACCATTGATCAACTTGGTAGAAGTAACTCTCATGGGGCCAGGAGGATGTCAGTATCCTTCACTATTGAGAGATGAAAGATGGTAATAGAAATTATCCTCGGTTTCCTCCGAACTGCAGTCAGTAGAAGCATACACGGAGGCGATGAAAGGGCATGTTATCTTCCTATGGTGCTTATTAACCCCAACAGAGTTTCGAAGTCGAACCGCACTAATGCAGCTGTTCACCGGTATTCAGTCGAACAAACTGGCTTCAGCATGTTTGGTGAGGGCAATACAAACACCGTTAATACCTTGTGTCACTGACTGGCTGTCACCAGAGACACGAAGAGTGTAGTCATTGTTGTCAGATTCAGAAGATTTGTCAATAAGCTGTTATTCTGTATGTGTGTTTCGGAGACACAGCACACATCAATACCAAGAGAGTGAAAAGTGAGAGTCAGTATTGTCTGGTGGTCGATCTGACTCAAAATGTGGATGTTAAGAGAATCAATGTGAAATGAAACTAGATTTGATGGCAGCGGCAGTCTCTTGCTCAATAGAAGGGGGAAGAAGAGGAGGGAGAAGAGAGGGAAAACAAGAAGAGGGAGTTTTGTCAACGGGGTACAGAAAGCAGATAATAATCACTGGCTCCCAATTTCGAGGGAGGAGTTTTGTTCCAGATTTCTTATCTCCAGCATTTGAGTCAACTGTCTGACCCACAATGCAGTGGGGTACATAGAGGTTCGCTTGAGGGACATCACCCGGAGACTTTTGCTAAATAGCCTGACCCAGGAGGCAGTAGATAGCATGTCACGCTTGGGAATAGTGTATTGTGGGAGCAAGTAAAAATTCGAATTTGTAGAACTCCATGGAAATATGAGCAAAGACGTTAGAAAAGCATACTGTGACTTGTCAATACTCTGATCGTTTTTCACGTTCTCACGTGATATGGTTAAAAATCGTTTAACTCACCGTAGACTGAGAGATGTCTGTACGTAATCTTTCTCATAATCTAGCATTCGAAAAATGCCCATGCAATGATCGTTTGAACTGCTGCAGAGTTCGCTTCCACTATACGTTTCGGCAAAACGTTTAACTGGGATCTGCTTCGGGCCCGCTACACACAGCCTTTGAAGATTTAGTACAATGGACTTGTGTTTTGCGACCGCATTATGTTACGCACCTGGGCATATTCGCCGCATGGATCCGACCAGGATACCGAAACAGCTGTTTTATGGCCAACTGCGTGCAGGGAAGCAACACGTGGTAAACTGTAGTTACGTTACCAGGATATGATCAAGTCGAGTTTTTCACGAACTAATGTTGATTTCGGGTGTTGGAAATCGATGGCAGTGGATCGGCGCCGATAGCGAGAGCATGTCAAGAGGGCTGTTGCCCAGGTGCAAGGGAAATTACTACTGCATGTGGAAAAGTAACGTCGGTTGGGAAAGCGAGAGGCATCGATGGTAGATAGCCCATCGACGTCGAGCACATTGTGCTGTAGCACACACGGTCGCAAATGCCTGTCACCAGTGTCGCCACGTTAGACCAACATCTAAGAGAAGAGGAGTGTGCTAAATGTGTAGTCATCAATAGCGCAGCGCTTGGTGAGTTCGCTGCTTCCAATTCAATTTACTAACCCAGGTCAATAAGGCGGTTGATGAGGTACGTGCACCGCATCGTTGTTGCAGTTGGTCTGTGCGTGTGCCTGTATGTTGAGATTCTTGCAATTCAGGTGTCGGCTACGCTTGATGTGAACGTTGACATGGTGCCTACCCGTCTATTACCTCGCCTATAGTGGCTCCAGGAGACAGCTGGTCGTTGCTGAAGAAGACCGGGGTGCACAGTCCTCGTGGCCGTGCTGGTCACAAAGAGTGGTTCCATGCATCTAGTGTGGAACGGGCTACGGCTCAGTCAGCGCCTTGTGTACTTGATTTCCAAATTAGGCATGGATGCTTCTGCTCTGCTTGTTGAAGGAGTGTGGGTCGGCTCTACTGGTGAAACGCGGCTCCCATCCACATGCCTCCCGGTCTTATTCCTTCGGGTTTACACTGAGATGGGGTGTGTGGACGAAGCTGTGGGTGGTGCAGCGCAAGCCACCCCTGGTCCCTCTGTAGGCGCAGGCATCCTGTGGCTGTCTTGTGGAGGCCGCAGTGAAGTGCAAATCCGGAACCTTATACTGCCAACCATATATGCTATACACCTGCGATCACAGCCAGCCGCAGGGGGGAGTTGGCTGGTTTGCACCAATTTGACCAAGGCCTGCCTGGCTTGAGGCGGGCGGTAGCAAACCATTGAGCACCGGATGGTTACCTTCCATCGTCAGAAAGAATGCATGGCGCTCGCGCTCCACGTCAATCAAGCTGTGAACTCATAACCCCGTCTCTCATGAGTAGGTTTAAGAGGGCCATCAACTATTGCTTGACCTCCGAAAGAGGATTGGATTGTAAAGCTGAATTAGTCTAACCCCTAACCATTGACCTGTCTGGTATGAGTGTCTCTGAAGGCACTTGAAAAGTGTCACCCGGCGTAGCTCAATGGGTCACATTGGGTCCAGCCTAGTCGCGGTGGTTCTCAAAACAATGCCATCAGGTGACAACTAAAGTGCCTTGCCTAAGTCCACCTTCCGCTATACATCACGTATTATGCTGCGATCATCATTCATCATTATACACGTCAGCTAGAGGTGGGGAACACAGCTACTGTGCCGCAGTATGCTGCGATACTATTGAAGTATAAGTATGAAGGTGCAGAAGACACGATTTGCCTATGTCTGAGTCTGTAAACGAAATCTTGTTTCCGGCAGTTATTTTTTCTGTGTCTCCATGCAGTCCCGTGTTTCGTCACTAGTCTCAGCTCATATGTACAGCATTTCGCAACTAGGTCACTTACGTCGTGTAGCCTAGCAACAATCAAGTCTGGCCAACTATACAAAGTGGTTATTTGAAAAGCAAATCAGCGTTTACACTGTACATAAATAAGGAGCGCAATAATGTTGCAATGGGTTCACATAGATCACTGCTTATTTTCACGTCTTCCACCGTGTGTCCAAGTTCATTAGTCCGTACGTCCTGCTCGTTTCAACCACTTATGCTGTGTTCACCATGAAGCATGCTTGAGCGCATCAGTTCTCCTTGGTATGTTTGGCCAGCGTGGACGCTTCGTACGCTCGCATCCGATCCATCCTATCTGCTTCGCCGTCGTTCGTGACAAACCTGTGCTTTGTTCCCTCCAGATTGAGCTAATCCTGATTTCGCTCGCTGGTGCGTCCACGCTTGATCAGTTTGCGTCGACAGCGACTGATTAGTCTTCTGTCTGCCTAAACCACGACAAGCATCTTCGTTCAATCGATCAGCTACTATCGCAACTTAAGCAGTAGCGATCAAAATTCAATAGTCTAATTTGCGCGAGGGTTACTATACGTGACGACCGTTTCCTCCGTTCTGACAGTCAAACAACTAAGAGGTGTCATAACGGCACTTCAGGTCGATAAGTTTGTCATGGAGGCGAATCCACACCTGAAATTTGTTCCACGAACGCAGTCCCCATGACCTAATCGATGGCGAACCCCAGAAGCAAGTCACAATAGGCACCCATGTCTCACGTTACCAAAAGTAATGAACGGCAGCAAAATGTTGCCATAGGCTCTCACTCCGCCCGAACTACGCTCTTATAATATTTGCATATTTTTCGAGCCCACCATTCCTGACCAATCAGTTAATACACAGAATCGAAGGCATCGTTAAAATACAGGAACAAGACTAGTGTGGGTAATCAATAATTGTAGTTGGGTTCTAACGACTGACATAAAATGAAATTGCAGTCAATACAGCTTTAATTTCGACGGAAGTCCAACCGCTCTTCATTAATTCGACTTTCAGCAAAGAAATTCAATCTAGGAAGGTAGCTTGGATCAGACTAATTCCCCCTATGATTGCCGTGTTCCGAACTTGAGCTCCCTTTGAAAATCAATAAAATAACAGAGCAGCTCCAGTTGGTTGACAGTTTCTTAATCTCACGTCCGTACTAATAAATGGTGTGTTGTCGGTTCGCCGAACAATCTCCATGTGGTGCCAGCTGGGTGATTCGGGTTTACCCTGTTCCAGCAAATAGTTCGACGGCAATTTTACAGGACGTGGTGGGCATTCTCCTGGCAAGCGTTCGTCCTATAAAAAGCTACAAATACCTATTTAACAAAACTGCCCCTTGCTTATTCGAAAAATCATATAATCTCCAGGGACGTCAATCATCCTTTCTCACACTGGCGACGTGAACACAGTCAAGAGTGCAGCGGCGCATTTACAAACAGTAGTAACCTAACCACGCACATGCACAAATATGTGCATTCATAGATATACTGTTACTAACAAAGTTGGGATATTTTGGTACACCGTCATTAGTCTATCACTAATGGCATGCATATCGTGACGTAAACACTTATTCGTCGCAGAATACAAAATATAAAGCCAATCTTGCGGTCTGACCGTCGTGTTCGTGTTGAGCATGTGCCAACTGAAACAGCAACATGACTCCTACAAAAAATTACCTACCAATATAATTAGCTTTGGGTACAGGATTAAATGAAATAAGCAACAATCACAACTCACCGAAAGAATTAATTTGGTAGCTTGCATAAGCATGTTCTCATGAGCGGACCATATCAAAGCAAAACACTGTAGGGATGAGTGAGCCGTCGCGCGGTACGACAGTAAAGTCGAAGTTACGAAAGCTGGAATCCAAACATAATTTTAATGTCTCAAATGACGCTCAGAACACAATGAACAATATGAATAAGCATAAAGCAGGTACAACAGGCATGTGTCTCGGGTAACTTTGCCCTATGAATGTTCTGACAATCACGTCTCTCAAGAAACCAGGCTAAAGAAGACAAGACAGCCGATGAAGGTGCTGCTAACGTGGAAAGGTAGTACACTTGTCCCGTGTCTGTCTATTTAAATGCTGCTAGTGTCATCACGATGTCTAAAGAAGTCTGTTGACAGTTCAGCTTCCAATACGATCAATCGCTAATCACGATTTTGTGACGCAACGTCGAGTGCCTGTAGCAGTCATCCATCATTCACCACACAAATGAAAACTGAAATCCAGTTTGCTAAGATGGAACCTGACACAGGCACTACAGTCAGCATAAAAAGTACTGCAGCTGTCAAGCTATCTCTTTGAAAATCTCATTTGCGAATGCACACAAGGCAACCAACATAAATCATAAAAAGTGCACTGGTCGCGTCTGTATCGTGAAGAAGAATGTGTCTAATCAACATACGCCGTGGTGAATATCTGCTCAAAATTGCTCGGGCGCGCCTGTGCTACATGCCTCCCAGCTGCACTAAAGAAGATTGCGTTTATGTCGACTAACCAGTTTGATGTTGGTGGGTCATTTTGAATGAATGGATTGCAATGGATTGTGAATGGAGTGCAACGCATAATCTCAATGTAGACTGCGATTCCCATTGTAGTGAACCTTCGTCAATGTGACCACTGTATTCTCTGCGATAAAAAGTGGTTAGTAGAGGGAACAATTGCACTCAGTTAATAGAGGAAGGGGCACCAATAGCTCGCATCCTAAAAGTTGATGGTTCTGCGCGTATTTGTGGCAGATAAAATCTAACGGGTCGACTAGAGCCACGCATATTTCCAAAGCGAAGCTCCCCATAGATGCACTATGACAATGTTTTCGGGTCTACCCTGCTTCACAGGCTCTCTGGGGCTCGAGTGCGTGTGCGTCATTATGGTGACAAACCCGCTCACGATAACCGAGAGGTCAACTGTGCTACTGTGACAACGAATTTGAGAATTACTCACCCTCAGCCTCACGTGACCGGACAGGCGTAGTGTTCAGCTGTCACAACAGCCGTCACTGGAAATGATCCCATTTCGCGATAAACGTGGAGTCAAAATGCACCCGCTTGACCAGGACTGGTTCAGCCTCTCAAACTGTGCTTTTGCATTCCGCGCTAAGTGTGGTAACGTCAGACAAATAGAATTAAAGAGACCCAACAATGTGACCGATGTGCTCTGGTTTTGCCGGGTACGCAGTTATTGCAATTGTCAATTGCATAGTTGTACCCAAGAAAAGTAAAAAAAATTGAAAGAAACAATTGAGCAGATGGCAAATGTCAGTGCTTCGCCATTGGAGTAGAGGAAAACCAACCCTGTTCCCCAGCAACAATCCCTGAGCCCCGTCTCTAAGTTGAAGAATAAAGTCAGTCCTGCCAACTGCCCACGGTATCTGCACCAGTTATTTTCACACATAACTCAATACTGATACTGGTACTGTATTTAAGAGCAAGTAGAAAGGTTTCTGTACAACTCTATCGAATTACGAAAAATCAAAATTTACTTGTGAATTATCAGCAGTTGTGTCTGGTCCGTTAATCGTTTATCCGTGATCGGTTAGAAATTTGTACTAGCGTCATTATTTCCGGACATACAATGTATTCTTTTGGCACTGTATGTGCATCGTTTCACAAAAGCACAGGTTTGCAAAATAATCGTCGATACGGGTTTTAAAACACTTCACAGAATCGGCCTCTATTAATCCTTCAGGTAGTGTATTCCATAAGTTTACGATTCTTCGTTCGATACAAAGCTGATGTGATACTTGGTTCATGCTGGGGACCCTGAGTTTGTAATGATGTCCTCGGGTGTTACAGGGTTCTCGCAGGTGAAATATTGGCCGTAGTATGGGGAAGTGATTCAGGTGTAGTACTCGATGGGTCATAATAAGATCAATTCTTACTCGGCGATAGGATAGTGTGTAGAGTCCGAGCTTTTCACAACGTTTTTCATATGGAAGTTTTCGTAGACTTGGTATCATTCTAGTTGCGATATGCTGTATTTTCTCCAATTTTTCAGTTTCCCACTGGGTTATCGGATGGTCAGGCAAGTCATCTTTGACCTGGCTGCTATTAGCCCATTCATGGAAGCTATACCTAAAGACTAAATCATGACACTGGTTACTTAGCCGAAGGCAAACCGGTGCCCAGAATAAACGAGTAACGCCACGATAAACACACCGGAAGCGACACGCGTAGGTCAACCTTCCGTACCGAGCACACGCGGGGCGACGCAACTTTCACTGCCAACCTTCGTGGCGCTTCCTAAACAGCCCAAATCAACAGCAATAACTCTCAAACCGACATTCGCTGGACATAATCACGGTGCGTTAACTCTCGTCTGCACTAACGTTCCAGAATCCAAATCTGGCACAATAAAGAGCAAGTTGCTATATGATCACAACTAGCGGTGTTGTATATGCGACGCTAGCGGTACTCAGGTTGGGACAACTATACTGAGAAGCGTATTGCGTCACCTGACCTTAATGCACCATGATGAACTACGAATTCCTCGGGAGAGTGAACTCAGTACATGAGACAGAGGATGTTCTACTCTCAGCAATTCGTCTTCACGACTCACCCAGTGGGATGCGCACATTACTCGAACTTCCTTGGAAAGATCGCCCAAAGGAAGCAGATAACCAAGGCGGCCCTCCTAATAGCGATAGCAAGAAAACCATATTTGTTCATGATGTTCCCGAGCTTCCGGATTCTCCTGACCGCGAAGCGCAAGCATGTGACCGAGAGCACTCTCTCTGGACAATGTTATCGCAAAGACGTTGATAAGAAGTCCTTCATCATCTAACTAAAGGAGCTGCAGTCCAAAATTAATGAAAGTGATGTTACATACCGAGGAAATGACACAGGTTCTATTCGATAACTGGTCCAAATTTCGTGCCAGATTGCCAACCGAGATCCGGCTGAAGGCAATAGGCGAACGGTCACGAGAGGTCAGCAATTAGACGGAACTTGCAACCGCAATAAATTCTGTATCCCCAGTCCTGCGGAGAGACCGACACAACAGCACTCGCAGTATGCAGTAGGACAGAGGGAAACACGAGTGAACACTCCGTGAGGTGCTGAAGCCCGACTGAAATTCATAAACCCATGAACAATCAAAAATGATTAGAGGCCCACCACCTAATGGTCGGTTTAAAACCAAGCCCAAATTTGACATCCTGAATTGCACTACTAACATATAAAACACTATGCTATTCGTACACCAACGGTCAACGCCTCCTTAGTACGCTGGTCGAATTTAGAAAACGGTAAGCCTCACAACTGCGGGACCTCATCATGATTACAGAAACCTACTTAAACCTTGAGATAACCGATCCTGAGATCGATTTACCTGGTATGTCGCTGATTCTGAAAGATGGAATTGGAAGGGGTGGTGGCGTAATTCTTTATTACAATGCAAACGTCTGATATGTAGTCATTGATCACCCAGAGATTCGCGTCCCCGATTCGTTTTGGTGCCGCCTACGGTTGCGGTAAAGGAACACATGTCTACTAGCCATAGTTTACCGGCAGTCAAACTCTGTCGTAAATGGGCGCGAAAATAAGTCACGTTTTTCAGGTTGCTTTGTACAAGCCCTACAGTCACATTCCTATTGCTGGAGGTTAAAATGTGCACGAGATGGAAAAGCCAGCAACCGATAGTGCAGTTTAAAGCCTGTTTGCAAGAGCTAAGTTCCAGCCACCCTCTGTATAACCACGTAACCAGCAGATTTCAAACTGCCTAAAGGCCGTTGATACTTGATGTTGTGCTCACCAACGAAGAACTCATGGTCGACGAAAGAATTACAAGCACATCACTGAGTCGCAGTGACAATGGTAGTCTACTGTCTAGCTAGGTATGCTTCACGGAATATCCTGAAAACGAGGACACTGTCACGTATTACAACGTGTTATTCACGCTTGTTAAGGGTACATCTTGGACTTTCCTAACCGAATGTCCTAAAACATCGCTTGTTCACCAAGACGTTAAGCACAATGGGTAGCGCCGCATCGGAACAGAGATTCTTCCATCGTCAAAGTAAAACAAGCCATTTCTGAGGAGCAGAACTCGTAAATGTATGTCCCTGGGGGAGTTGGTATGGCGAGCTCACAATGACTACCTGAATGTCGACATCTGGACTGCGTACGTTTGCACAGCGTAAAGTCCGTGTGAAATCGATCCGCGAGGACAAGGTGACGCATCAGAGATGCTGTACGAACCGCGAATTCATATGGTTGGCGGCATCCGGTTTCGGATTTGCCTGTCACTGTGGCAAGCCACAGGACGCCTGCGCCTACAGAGGGACCATGGATGGCTTGCGCTGCACCACCCACAGCTCCAACCACATACCCCATATCCAGTGTAAACCCGAAGGAATAAGACCGGGAGGCATGCGGATGGGAACCACGTTTCATCAACGGAGCCGGCCCACACTCCTTCACAGGCAAACACAAGCACACTGTAGTTGGGGAATCAAGCGCACACTAGGCGGTGGCTGGACCGTAGTCCGCTCCACACTGACTGCATGGAACCACTCTTTGATCCTAACACGGCCACAAGGACCGTGCACCCTGTCCCCTCCAGCAACGACCAACTGTCTCCTGGAGCCAGTATGGACGAGGTAGTGGGTAATAGACAGGTAGGCACCTTGTCAACGTGCACATCAAACGCATCCACACCGGGGATTTCAAACAACAGCCAAACACTTGAGAGAGAGAGAAAGAAAAAGAGAAAGAGAAAAACTCGATTAATGCATAAGGAAACGGTGATATAAACCTTAATTAAA